CAGGGAGATAGCCCTAATGGCTAGTGTACATGCTTCCTACGCAGGAGGCTAGCATCAGTCCTGACATAGCATGGTCCCCCAAGCAACAACTAGAGCACCCCCAAAACACTAAGCTACAGTGTCCCCTGAGCAACACTGAGTGTGATCCCCAACCCTAGCCCCCCACTCAAAATCCACAAAAGTATCCTGTGATAAGGGGATAGAGGGATGTGTGCCTGATTCCAAATTCCAGATTAAACCTAAGAAGCAGAAGGCAGAATTGTCAATTCCCCTACACTGGGGTGGGAAGCTGGATCACATCTGGCAGTGCTCAGGTGTCACTCCCAGCTCAGTGCTCAGGGGACCATGCTGTGCTGGGCTTCTAGTCCAGGCCTCCCATGCACGAGGCCCTTGAGCCATCTCCCTGGCTTCATTGCTACATTTCTTCTTCTTTCCTCCTCCTCCTCCTCTTCTTCTTCTTTTGTCTTCTGGGCCACACCCGGTGATACTCAGGAATTATTCCTGCTGGTGCTCAGGGAACCAATGGGATGCCAGGGATTGAACCCCAACCAGTCACATGCAAGGCAAGCACCCTACCCACTCTGTAATCTCTCTGGTCCTGTAACAAATGCTGTTTTGTTGCTTGGGGGTGACACCCAGCTGTGTTCAGGGACCACTCCTGGTGCAAAGTTCCCAGAGTACTGCTGGGTATATCCCTGGGTATAACAGTGGCTCCTGAGTATTGCTGGGCCAAGCATTAAACCATGGTTTGGAGGACTATATGGGATGCCTGGGATCAAACTCACAAGGCAAGCACCCTTAGTACCTGCTGTACTATCACTACACCCACAGTTCTTTTTAAACAAACTGGCATCTATACAAGATGCTAAAGAATTAGTTCATTAGTTTCTGCTCCTGTTTTTAATTCTGAGCCACACTGAGGGTGCCCAGGGACTGCTCTCAGCCTTGCCTGGAGCAGTGCTCGGGATGGAATCCAGGCCTCCATCACATGCTCAGTGCTTCGAGTTCTCTCTGGCCCAGTGCAGTCTGGTTAAAACTGGCAAAAGAATTAAGCACTGATCCAGTTACTACCACACAAATTGTTCTTCAAAGCAATAGAATAGTTAGAGGTGAGAGCTTTCTCCTCTAGAAGAATTCTAACAAAGGGCGACCAAATGATAGAATTCAAGTCTCATTCTTTAGTAACCTGTAGAAAAAAAAACAAAAACAAACAAACAAACAAACAACAACAAAAAAACCAAAAACCCCAATCTTGGCAAAGCCAGATATTAGCTTTCTCCTAAAAAAAAAAATACACAACATTACTAAAAACAACCCCCTCCCCCACACTGAATCTGATAAAATCTCTTGCTCTAACTCTCAATAAGAAATCACAATGGGGGTGTGGGGGCTGAAAAAAATTACATTAAATGATTGTATGGAGATATACTTTCAGTGAAACCCCAATTATAAAAGCATTATTAGGAGAGCGGCATGGAAGATGGCTCAAAGTGGTGGAAAACATATCTAACATGAGGCCTTGAGTCTGATACTTGCAAAGTCTCTCACCAGGTTTATCCCTGGTGGTAAGCAGCGGCTCCTGAGTATTGCTGGGCCAAGCAGTAAACCATCAGGCCTGTACCCCCTGGAATAACTACCACCAGGACTGGCCCCCAGCACCCTCGGAGAAAGCCTTTTTTGATAACAATAAATTTGAGCTAGGAAGATCCATAGGGTTAAAGGCCCATGCTTGGCATGTGCTCCCTCCTGGTACCATAAACTCCACACTCCATCAGCACTGTCTGGTGTAGCCCAAAAACAACAGAATAGAATAAAGTAAAAACAAAGAAATTCATACAGCATTTAAGATTCAAAGATAACTCTTCCATAACTGACAGCACCCAAACCAAAAGAAGAAATGGTTTATGTTTTTAACCAATCCTAAAAAAATGGGAACAAAGAGCCAGAGAGACTCTAAAATAAGAACATGACTCAGAAAGAAAGGGATAGACATAGAAAGATTGCATTCATCTGGGGAACATAAAGTAACAAAATAGGAAACTAACACCCAAGTATGGCAGAGATTAGTACCAGGAATTTTACTCAATGACCCGGAGGACAACCACACATGTTAGGGGAAGGGGGAGCTCAGAAAGAGAAAGGAACACCAAATAAAGGGTGTTGGGAGGATCCACCCATGATGGGAGAGCATGCTGAGGGTAGACTGTCGACCAAGCATGGTTGCCACTCAATGCCTCTTTTGCCGACCATGGCACCCAAAAGGAGAGAGAGGGAAATGCCCTGCCACAGAGGCAGGGTGGGATAGGGACTGGGGGGGGGGGGGGGGGGGGGGAAGGGATGCTGGGATCCGAGGTGGTGGGAAATGTGCACTGGTGGAGGGATGGGTGTTTGATCATTGTATAATCGAAACCCAAGCACAAAAATGTGCAAGTCTACAACTGTACCTCATGGTGCCTCACTATTAAAAAATAAATAAATATAAAAAAAATAAAAAATAAAATAAGAACAATGGGTGGGTGGGTTAGGCCCTTGTTTGCCTCCTCTTCTAAACTAGTTCTCAAAGTACTGTTCAACTTGGTGACTAAGCACAGGTTTGCCACAGACCGAAAGAGAAAGATGGGAAGAGGAGAGGCATGGAGTTAAGAGTGTGTATCTGAAGCAGTTCGATCGGGGACCAGAGAGGCCTTGCCTCCAATTATATAGCTGAGCCGGAGGTGATTTGTGGGTGTGTCTCCCACATACCTAACTTTTGGCCCTTTACTTTCTTGGTAAACTTTGCTCCAAGTTTTTGGGGTCTGGCCAAAGGCACAGCAGCAATTTTGAGGTATCTGAAAGTCTGAAGGTGCAGGCTCTTGATGCACTCGCTTCACAGGTACAGATTGACCTGCTGGTGGCACCATACATCCTCCAGAGGCCACTGGACAGTCAGGTTTGGGCTCTCAGTGACAAGACATGTGAGGCCTCCTGGGATGGGGGTGGAGCCAACCTTTTCCTCCCTGTCCCAACGAGACCCTGAGTCACCACCCATGAACGGCCTTTCTGGCTCCTGATCAACCTGCTTAAGGGCCATGATCCCAGAGACTCAGGAGCAAATCTTGGAACCCAGCAGGTTTTGGCAGAAATCCCTCCAGATTTAAGTGTTAAAATTTCGGAATTTCAAAATTGTGCGGCCACTACTGTGGCCACGCGACATCATATGTTATTCATAACCAGCAATAGAAAACAAATTGTCCACTGTTGCCTTTTCAGCAGATCTGAGTGTTGGGGTAAAATCTCAAATAATAATGGTGGGTCTGGTGCCAAAATATTGAATGTGATGAAAGTAAAGAGAGAGTAAGGTGGAAATAATCTGCCCCACAGGTAGGGGGAGGGTGTGGGATAGGGGTATACTGGGGTTTTTTGTGGTGGAGAATGGGCACTGGTGAAGGTACGGGTGTTTCATTGTATGACCGAGACTTAGACCCAAAAGCTTTGTAAGTGCTCTCATAGTGATTCAATAAATAAAATTATAAAAAATGAAAAAAAAAAAGTAAGGGGGAGTTCATGCCCACTTCAATCAGCTAATCAGTGGCTGAATAAATAGCAGTATTCCTACATTAAAAAAAAAGAGTGTGCATCTTTTATTGATAACCTTTCAAATCCAAGGAAGTTTGTAAAACCTTTTTATCTATGCACAATCTCATTTCATCTAGACATATCCCCCTTGGCAAAGGGAAGCCCACAACTGATTCCTGGTATCCATTTTACAGAGGAAGTCAAAGAGAAAGACTTGCCAAACAAAAGCACATTAGCTGCTGCTGCTGGATGAATAGTTTATTTTGTTGGAGCTGGGGATGAAACCAAGGCCTCATTCAGACGGAGTTGCTTGCTCTTACGGAGCTACCTCCCCAGCAACTGAACGTAATTTAAAGATCACCTGGGAGTGCTATACCAACTCTTCCTTCTTAAAAATACATTCTCTGCCAAAAATTACTCAGAATATAAAAGATGTTGGCCCCTGAGTAAAGAATTAGGCATTATTTTCACACATTACTTAAAGGGTTGGAGTGATAGCACAGCGGGTAGGGTGTTTGCCTTGCACACGGCTGACCTGGGTGACCCGGGTTCAATTCCTCCGCCCCTCTCGGAGAGCCCAGCAAGCTACCGAGAGTATTTCACCCTCATGGCAAAGCCTGGCAAGCTACCTGTGATGTGTTCGATATGCCAAACACAGTAACAACAAATCTCACAATGGAGGTGTTACTGGGCCCATTCGAGTAAATCGGTGAACAATGGGAGGACAGTGACTTAAGATACAGATATAAGCTGTACCCAAGTGAGGACAAAGTTGTAAGTATTCATTCTGCTAAAATGAAGCACTCTTGGCCTTGGCAAACTCAGGTAAGTGTTAACCCCCCACTCCGGGTACCTTCTAAGAAATGATCAAGTTGTCATTTAGAAACAAATTTCAGAGTGAGCAGTCTGTGAAAATATGCACATTTATTCTTTTAATTGGCAAAACACAGACTTTACAGGTCATTTCATTTCTGGTTTTAGAGGACAAATCTGAGTAAAACGACTTCATTTACTGGCTTGAACCAAAACATGTTTTAAAGCAAAATATACACTTCAAATATGTTCCAGGGAGGACAGATATTTAAATAACGTGTTTCATTTATACTGTCTCCAGGCTCCACTTTCAGGTACGCGGGAGCCCACATTGTTAAGGCTAATGGTGGCTTTGGGGGCGGGGGGGAATTCATGCACACCCAAGTATGTATTTCAGTTATCCGGGCAAAACACAATAGGAAAGAACAATGACAAGACATTTTAATTCCAATTGTTTTCCATTTTTTAAAATGTAAGATTGACATAAAGTCTGTCCAGCTTTTCAGAGAACCTGAGTGAGTTAAATGCAACAGTAAATCACTACTTCTACTTAAAGCAAACTGACTTTTTACATTAAAAAAAAAAAAAAGGAAAAGGAAAACACATGTTCTCCTCCAGGAAACAGACCAGAGTGTTCCTCCCCCTAGCCCAGAAGACCAGGCTGAGGTGGGGAGAGGATGCCTAGGGGGGTTCAGGGTGGGATGGAGCCTCCTGGTCTCTGCCAGACCTACCTACTTGCCACCTCCCAACCTAGCAGAGATTCCTGAATCTTGGGAACTGGAATTTCCTGCCATTGATACTGCACACACACTTTGAAGGAGCTATCAAATAGTCACCTCTCAGTTACTCTATGTGGCTTATTTTTGTCCTGAACCAACAACCTGGAAGTAAAGGCCTCGCAGCCCAGCGTGCCTTTTCTGATCTACCTACTTCCCATGAAAACCCTCTGAGGAAAAGTGTTAAGGCAGCATGTGTTCAGAAGTGTCACTGCTTCTAAAAATAATCTGGAGGAGTCAGGCAGGAAGCCCAAGTTCAAATGTGCTTAAGTACTGAGTTGATTAATCAGCTATGAAGAGGTCTTTTGAACGCACAATTGATTTTTAGCCAAGTGCAGAGTATCAAGATTCCACTTGGTTTTAGAAAAGTAGGCCAGGTCGAGGGAATATCTAAAGTGTCTGAAAAACTGAGACTGCATGCTTTGTCAGCCTAAAAATAACCAGGGCGTGGAGCCAAACATGAAATACATTTCAGCAGGAAGGTGATAATGGAGAGCCAAGCAGATAATATGCTGAAGACGGGAGAAATCCCCGCTACTGGCTGATGCTGACTCAAAAACAGTGAAAAATCCAAACTTCCAAAAAGCAACAACACATACAGTCAGTGTGTAGATCACCCCCAAAAAACCCAGTGCTATGAAACATGCCCCATGGGTTTGACCCGACAGCTAAAACCTGACCAGAGGCTAGCACTCCGATTCACCTTCAGTTTCAAATAACAGAGAAATTCCACACCCAGGCCCTCATGTTGGCATCAGAATGACTAATTTACAGATCAAAAACAAAGCTAAGCTGCTGATTTGAGATCGAAAACAAACAGTCCTTAATTCTAAAAAGGCTGTTTAATATCTCATCCCAATTAATTCATCCAGGAAGAAGGGGGAAGACATTTGGAATTGCATTAGAACACGTTGTTTAGAGCAATATAAAACATTTGGAAAGTGAAAAGAAAGGACAATAAATACTCAGTTCACACGAAATGTGGGAAAACAGGAGAGAGAAAATGCAGCAGGTGCTATGTTGGACCATGGAGACACTCAGCAGTCAGGAGCACTTCCCAGATTACTCTTTGGATCTCAACTCAAACGACGTCCACTACACACCAAGTGTGTGTGGCCCAGCTTCGGAGAATCTGCATCCCCCGTTGACCGTGAGAGAAGCAGGAACACATGGTAATTCCAACCAAGACCTCTGGGGACCATCAGAGCGATGAGGAATATGGTTACTGGTCCGGCAGGCCTGGCCTGCGCTTAACCCGCTAACCTTTGGATCCTGGTTTCAGACTGGCAAAAACTTTGGGATTCTTAAGGGCGAGGGAGATCTCATTGAGGAAGGAGATAAAGTGGGAGTCTCTCTCGGATTTCTTTGACTCAAAAATGACAACAATGGTGAAGTGCGGCTCTGGGCGGGTCAGGAAGTAAGTGCTCTGGACTTTGTCGTCATAGAAGTGGACCACTTTCTCCAGGCTGTTCAGCTCGGACATGCGGTCGGTCATGATCATGATGACATTGGGCCAGTGCATGACGGGCCTGTCACTGGGCAGAGACACCACGGCCGGATACTGGTCCACGCCCTTCGGGGCCTCTCGGTAGGAATGCGGGTGGTGGTAGCCGTGACCCTGGAAGCTCTCAGAACCTCTGTTGTCAAAGATTAAGGACACGTTGGCAGCATCATACTTCCTGATGAAGCTGGAAATCTTTCCAAAAAGGTCTGGGTTGGCTTTTGCCGTCAAGGTTTTCATTTCCGAGGCTGTCGTTTGCCGGCTCAGCGCCTCGTGGAAATAAAAACTAAATTTGGCCAGAAGCATGTTTTTGAGCTTCATCAGCCAGAGGAAGAGGTGTGGGGGCTGCACGGCCTTCTGAGACTGTCCTCCGAACAGATGCTTCTTGGTCTCCCGCTGCTTTTCGAAGATCTGGCCCCAAGTCTGCAGTTTGGCGTGAGCGCTGTGCAAGTTAACCAGCGACGGGAGGAACTTCCACTCAGAGACCTGAGCCTGCGCCTTCAGGAGGTGACTCAGGACATCAACCTCCAACTGGAAGCTGCTTTCCAAAGGACTCAGGATAGGGTGGTGAAATCTGCAGCAGAAGCACAATTAGGAGAAATAAGTGGAAATGTTAGTACACACACACACACACACACACACACACACAACACACACACAATTAGACAATAATGGGATAGCTGGGGGCAGGAGAAGGAAAATGGAAAGACTGCTGATATACTGAAAAAGCCAATTTGAAATAACCTCACCAAGCTTAGGACTATGCCTAGGTAAATAAGTGACTAGGGAAGGGGTGAGGTAGGGGAAAGAGGGAGAGAAAAGAGAGAGGGAGGAAGAAAGTATAATAGCTACCTTCTTTTGAAATTTATAGAAATCAAATTAGCTAGAATTCTTAACTTCTTTTATTTTTTTTTTTTCTGGAAACTGTATGACTCAATTTATCATAAAAAGAAGGCATCGTCTTTGGGCTGTGGTCCTAAAGAGGCAGGGGGAAAGAAAAAGTCACTAAACACTTCTTAAGTACATACACAATAGCACTGTAGCATTGTCCTCCCGTTGTTCATCAATTTGCTCGAGAGGGCACTAGTAACATCTCTACTGTGAGACTTGTTGTTACTGTTTTTGGCATATCGAATATGTCATGGGTAGCTTGCCAGGCTTTGCCATGCGGGCAAATACTCTCGGTAGCTTGCCGAGCTCTCCGAGAGGGGTGGAGGAATCAAACTCGGGTCAGCCGCGTGCAAGGCAAATGCCCTACCTGCTGTGCTATCACTCTAGCCCGACATACACAATACATACAAATATATTTAACATTCAATGTAAGCTACTATTAAACCTGGTGCAGTAACATCTCCATTGTGAGACTTGTTGCTACTATTTAAAATTATAGATCATGGGCCACAGAGATATCACAAATAGCTGTTTGTGCATGCTAGAACCCCAAATTTGATGGTCCTTGGAGCACTGCCAGAGATAACTCAGAAAGTCCTCAAAGGGCTGCTGAGTATGGTTCACCCCCCACCACCAGAAAGGGGGTGACAGATCCTAAGCCTTTATCTGAAACACAGTAAGATAATAAAATACATCTCTACCAAAGGTAATTATTTTTGCTAGAAAATGCTTATCTAATCCTACTTCCCAAATCCCTTCATATTTATTAGTTAAAAACAGAAGTAGCGAAATAAACAATAGCTAACCCTTCAACTGCTTTTAATTTACCTTAAGGTAAAATCCAAAATCCCCAAGAAGACAGTAAGGTTCTTGAACAATCTGGGCCCTTTCAGACAGAGCCACATTCCCATTGTTCTTTCACTTCTTCCAGACATGAAGTCATTGGAACACTGTATCACGAGAAGGGAGCAGTGCAGTTTCCTGTCTACTTGGATGAGACAAAAAGTATTCTAAAATGCTGGATGGTGATGTACAGCAAGGAATACACTTTTGGGCCAGTAAGAAAGCTCACAGGATGGGAGTGCGTGTCTGGCATGCAGAGGTCCTGAGTTCACTCCCTGCACTACCAGCCTTAGCCCGGGAGGCCCCCGAGGTTGGTGTGAGCCCTGCAAATCTGGCCTGCACAGCTGGCTGAGTGTTAGCAGGAAGGAGCACCGCTCACTCCTGAGCACTTCTTGGCTGGCACAAAGGGAAAGAAAGAGAAATGGCCAAAAGAACTTCCTCAGAGAATGACACTTTATATTACAACACACCAGGAATATTCGTGGAAATAAAACTAGTGTGTTTTTGGGCGCTGGAGCAATAGCACAGTGGGTAGGGCATTTGCCTTGCACGCGGCAGACCTGAGTTCGATTCCCAGCATCCCATATGGTCCCCTGAGCACCGCCAGGGGTAATTCCGCAGTGCAGAGCCAGGAGTAACTCCTGTGCATCACTAGGTGTGATCCAAAAAGCAAAAACAAACAGTGTTTTCAACTTCATATCCCCCATTATACACAATATACTCTTGATATACATATATGTACATATATATATATATATAATTAGACTACTACTCACTACATTCATTTTATGACTCAGTGATTGCTGCCTGCTTGCAGGACACTTTGCCTTCCACGTGTCACAGTGGTATCCTGGGGGAAGGTGCTGGGAGGCAGAGGGGTGCTCCCATGGGGAGGATGGGGATGGGATGAAGGGGCTGAGGCTCATGGAAAGGCTAGGAGGCAAGTGGGAGCAGGACTTCCTCTTGATGCCTCAGTCTCTGATGGGGTTAAATATCCCAGTAACATCCTCCAGTTTCTTAGTACCTGTCTCCCCCCTTAGCAACTCAATCACAGAACTGATCAGAAACACCGGGACATTCACACCCTTGCTTTAAGCTTCTTGAGGGGAAGCAGGCGCTGTCTACTCTCTTTTCTTCCCCGAATGTAGGATACACAGTGATCACTCAGTACACGTGGTCACTGATCACTGGGAAGATCTGGGTCCCTAGTTTCTGCCTTGTGACTGTGAGTCTGCCACCCCTAAATGGAATTCACTAATAAAGGGACCGAGGGGCTAAGGAGAGTCCCCTCTATGGACCCTGGGGGGCTGCCACGCTCAGTCTTTTACTTCTGGAGAAATGTTCAGGGGGAGTCAGCATCTGCCTGGCATGGTGCAACCCACTCTCAAGGGTCCCCCATTAAGCTCTCCTCTCCTGAAGATCCAGCACAGCTGAAGAGAGTGCTGGGATCTTCTCAGTCAACGCCTCTTTTCCAAAAGCTGGGCCACACCTAGAATTTATTGAGCATGTCTTATGCTCCAGTACCATGAGACGTGAATAGAGGGTCTGAACCCACACAATTTAGCTGTTTCACTGCCGAGTGCTAGCAGCGTCTTACATTCTGTGATGGCCTGGGCTGATGAGGACAGTGCCCGAGATCTGTTAAAGAACTGGGGGTAATCACCACAAGTATATCCAGACGGCTCTGGTTTTCTCTTTTCATTTCTTTTCCATTTTTTCTTGGTATTGGAGCCACACCCAGCAGTGCTCGGGCCTTACTCCTGGCTCTGCACTCAGGGATCACTCCTGGCAGGGTTCAGGGGACCATATGAGGTGCTGGGGATCAAACCGGGTCAGCCATGTGCAATGCAAGGGCACTACAAGCTGTACTATGGCTCCAAATCCCTCTTTTTCAAAAATATATTTAAACTATAATAATAAAGAGACTATGATTAAGGAAGACCATATGAGGCTGGGTATTACTGTAGCACTGTCCTCCCGTTGTTCATCAATTTGCTCGAGTGGGCACCAGTAACGTCTCCATTGTGAGACTTGTTGTTACTGTGTTTTGGCATATCAAATATGTCACGGGTAGCTTGCCAGGCTTTGCTGTGTGGGCAAGATATTCTCGGTAGCTTGCTGGGCTACCGAGAATCAAACCTGGGTTGGCTGTGTGCAAGACAAACGTCCTACCCACTGTGCTATGCATATGTTCACACCTCATATGTTCCCGAGCCCTGCCAACGGGTATTACATAATAGAAATTATCATATGATATATAGAATATAGTTACATGCCAATAACTATTTTTTCTGTTATCAACATTTAAGTCTCAAGCTAGGGAAGCTAAAATATGGGTGGAGGTTAACCTAGGCTAATGACATAATCAAGAATCAGAAAAGTAAACCACAGTCCAAATCCTCCAGTTCATGAGTGACTATTCAAACACTGCATTTTTCTGTGATGGTAGTAAGGTAGGGTTTATAAATATATATCTTGATATATATATTTATAATTTTTTAAGTAATGTATTGAATCACCATGAATTACCAAGTCACAAAATTTTCATGGCTGAGTTCCCAGGTACAATGTTCAACCATCAACACCTTAACCAGTGCCCACTAACATTTTTCTACTTTTTTGAATTTTTAAAAACTATAGTATATACACAAACCCCCCGAAGCATGTCTCAAATTTGTTCATTTATTCAAAATGTTCTTACTACATTAGTTCCTTGACAGTTATAGAATATAAACTCTATAATTCTATTCTATTCTATGTATCAGAAAAAAACTGCCAAGGAACCATAAAGAGTAAGATTGAGAACAATAAGAAAATGGTATAAGACTGGAGAAAATTATACCACAAAAACCCAGTACTTTAAGTTATTTTTCTGCTTCCAATTAGAAATCATCCTTTATAGCCAACATTCTTCTTGAATGAATATGAATTCTCTATACAAACCTTCTCAAAGGATTCTGAACAAGCTCTTCCATAAACACAGACTCAAAGTATTTAAATGCTAAACGTTTATTAGGATGAATGAGAATGTCGAAGCAACTTTTTTATCCTTAAGAAGAGCTGAAAATTCATGTTAATGTTATTCTGCCAAGACTTTGAGATGAGCATTCTGATGTATCATTTCCCCATTCTAGTCTGCTGTGTGCCCCATATACCTATTCACAACACGCTCCAGGAGAGTCGGTTAAACTGCTGCAATCCCAAACTATACACCTCAGCTACAGCAGCAAGTTCCCAAGAATCTGAGTGAGAATCAATCCAGAAAACTGGCTCTTTAGAGAAAAAGTCTGGGCAGGAAAGAGAACTCAAAGCTGGAACACAGACTTTGCATGCACGAGCACTAGGACTGAACCCCAGCAAAGCACAGAACCATGAGCACTGGCATATACGGCCTCATGCAAAAAAAAAAAAAAAGGAAAAGAAAACAAATAAATATAAATTAATAAATCTATAAGACACAAACTGTAGCTCAGTGGTAGAGCCATTCCTTGCATGTATGAGGCCTTAGGTACAATCCCAATACAAACACAAAAAAAGTTAATATAGCAACAATGTAAATGTATCAAATGCCACTGTAAAGTAACCTTATGTTAAATATCATCTATATTTTGCTATAATAAAAAGTAGAGCCATAATCTCTTTTAAAACTAATTTGTTTGATTTTTAAATATAAAGTACATTAAAGATAATGACTAATTAACCAAAAGCTTGTCCTCTGGGACTTTCCATGGTGGAAGAAGTAACAGCTCTTTTATGAATACAAATAAAATAAATTTAAAACCAAACAATTTCTATTGGTAGAAAGACTGTGTCCTGTGTCATAGAGGAAATAAGACTTGAATTGAACCATAAATCTTAAATACCGTGTGATTTAGTCATGAGAAGGGCTTATATTTCTAGTCCCTAGGCTTATCCTTATAAGCATCCTGAATCACCATTGTCATGTGACTCTGTAACTCCTCCCACGGAAGTGGACGAGCGTTCCCACCCCTGAACTCTGGTCTGGACCACGTGAATTCTTTTGGCTTAAGGGACATTCACTGTCACTGTCCTCCCGTTGTTCATCGATTTACTCAAGTGGGCCCAGTAACGTCTCCATCGTGAGACTTTGTTGTTACTGTGTTTGGCATATTGAATATGTCACAGGTAGCTTGCCAGGCTCTGCCATGGGGGTGAGATACTCTCGGTAGCTTGCCGGGCTTTCCGAGAGGGGCAGAGGAATCGAACTTGGGTTGGCCATGTTGGCTGTGTGCAAAGCAAATGCCTTACCCTCTGTGCTATTGCTCCAGCCCCTAAGGGATATTAATAGATCTTATTCAAAAGACTTTGATTAAACTTGTTGTTGGTTTTGTTTTATACTTTGGTGATCCCACTGAAGAGTTGTTTCCCCCTCTAAGTCTGGGCTCACCATGTGCAATGGACTAACAGAGAAAGCAAAAAAAACTCAGGCCAGAGAGAGAGAGGTGTATGGACTGAATGCATGGCTGGCTCGCAGAATGCCTGGGTTTGCTCTGTGGCACCACCAGGAGGGGCTCCCTAGCACATAGCTGAGAACAGCTTCTGCACACTGGCAGATTTGCCCCCCCCCCCAATCAAACTAACAAAACAGCAAAACTCTCCACAGAAGGCCAAACCTGAAAGACCAAAATTACTAGGCATCTAGTTCAAGACCAGATCAGCCAACTCACAGCAGACAAAACCCAGAAGGCCCAGTGAGCCCGAAAGTGCAAATTAAAGACTGCTTGTTCTATAGATAGAATTGTTGTGTTAACAGCTAAAATTATGATAGAAAGGCAAGATGGGGTTCAGGAAATTTTAACCACTCTCTGCTTTTTATCAAACCTAGCATGAAAACACTCAGGTGTGAACATTTCTTGGGGTCTTCACTCCCTATGAAGAAGGCTCCCATGGTCGTCTGAGACTGACATTAGGACAGCCGGAGAGACAGCACAGCAGGTAGGGCCTTTGCCTTGCATGCAGTCCAACCCAGGCTCAAGCCCCATCACCTCATAGGGTTCCCCCTCAAGCACCCCATGAGTGATCCCTGAGCACACAGCCAGGAGTTAAGTCCTGAGAACAGCCAGGTGTGGGCCCAGAAACAAAAAAGATTCACACTAGGGGCTTGATAGTTCAGCAGAGCATTTGCCTTGCACGCAACTGACCCAGGTTTGATCCATGGCTTCATATAAGGCCCCCTAAGCACAGAACCAGATAAGCTCTGAGCACTGCTGGATGTGCCTCCCTCCCTTACAGCCTTCCCGCCCCCCCCCCCCCAAGACATTAAAAGTAAGCTTTTGTATACTTTTCTCCTGTTATGATGAAAAAAAGCCCCCAGTGGGTAACTTAAAGGCACGGAGGAAAAGATACTTTTCCTCCCTGACAAATTCAAAGCAAAATAAATACTAAGAAACAAGGTAGGAAAAGGTAAATACACCTTTACATTTGGCCTGTGTTTTAGCTTCTGCTTAGAATCTTCAAAGACTTCTCTTTGAAGTTTCTTCCTTTTTAACCAGGAGTGGCTGCAATTTAAAGCAGTGAATGGGCCTTAGATGAATTAAGAAAGGTAGACTGGGGCAAGGGCTGGAGCAATAGCACAGCGGTAGGGCATTTGCCTTGCATGCAGCTGACCGGGTTGGCCCATGTTCGATTCCTCTGCCCCTCTCCGAGAGCCCGGCAAGCTACCAAGAGTATCTCGCCTGCATGGCAAAGCCTGGCAAGCTCCCCGTGATGTATTTGATATGCCAAACATAGTAACAACAAGTCTCACAATGGAGACATTACTGGGCCGGCTTGAGCAAATCTATGAACAACGGGAGGACAGTGCTACAGACTGGGGCAGGATCACAGAATCTACTCTGAGCCTTCCCTACTATGGTCCAGGCATATCAAGCACCTGAAGGAGAATGTGTCCCTAGAAACAGCACTGCTGTTGGTTTTGCTTATGAAATTTCAGTGGGTAATGATTAACTTTGCTGAACTAGACACAAACAACTGTTTAATTAACAGTTATTATCACAGATCCTTTTATACAGGAAAAGGAAGTACTGTTTAAACAAATCATAGTTCTGCCTTTTAGAGAGAATTTTGTCATTTGAAGCATTCAGATCAAGAAATTGTGCTTCCTATAAACAGAAATTTTGTGTACCTCAATTTTTAAAATATTCCTTAAATTCCAACCATGAAGATATAATTAGTGCTTCATTATTCAAAGGGTTGGCAGGCAGTTCAAAGGGTTGGAATGCATGCTTTACATACAGGAACACTGACTTTTAATCACAGCACCCCCCACGTGGGACTCGAGCACTACCAGGAGGGACCCTCAAGTACTGCTCTCCGAGAAGACCCCAAACACTGCTGGGTGTGACCCAAATACTTCCGAAAATACAAAATGATAAAAGAAAGAAAATGATATATTACTCTTATGTTAGAGGGGCTTTTAAAAGCTGTCTAGAATGGGTCAATAATTGCTGTCCACAATGAATCAATACTCACTGACTAGAATGGATCAATAATTGCTGCTATTACTAGCATTACTGGGGTTGAAGTCATTGCAGAGCAGATAGTTCACTTGCCTTGCACACAGCTGACCCAGGTTCAATCCCAGGAACCTCATATGGTCCCCTGAGCCCACCCTGAGTGATCCCTAGGCACTGAGCTCAGAGTGAGCCTTGAGTACTCTCCAAAAGGGCACAAAAACCAATAAATAAGTAAAATTGGCATTCCTTCTTAAAATTGTTTTTTTTTAATTTAGGAGAAGAGGGTAAATATTAATTTGCATTCACGATCTCCCTTTCAGGCTTATTTTAACCAAGACACAGAAAATAAAGCCAGAATTTTCCTTATGTCTACTATACAAAACAGGTAAGTCAATCAAAACAAATTCTACAGAAACAATGTTTCATTTTTGCTTCCTTGGGGGGAAGAAAGCCCAAGTTCTACCTCGGGAGTATTCTAGGATAAGATTAGACACCCTGATTCTGGGTTCGCTAAATTCAAAGGGTATTTCCCCCCACCCCTTTTCAAGCACATGCAATAGAAATTCTTATATGACTGAAGTCAATTATTCCATTTTAAATGCAGTTTTACAAATTATTATGGTTCTTACATATAAATTTATGTTCGCTTACTAATGTAATAAGTTCGGGCCAGAGAGTTAGTACAGTGGGTAAGGCATTGCATGCAGCTGACCTGGGTTCAATCCCCGGTATCCCAAATGGTTTCCCCCCAGCACCACCTGAACTAATCCCTGAGCATCGCAGGTGTGGCCCCAAAGACAGAAACAAAATCAAAATCAATTAAAAAAATAAAACTTATGTAATCAGTTTATCAAAAGAGGAAAACTTTGACAGCCTGTGCTGGTGAGACATGCTTCCTGATTTTTGTGGTTTTCATGCCAAAAAATTAAAAATTTACAAAGCCAGAGAGAGAGCTTAACAGGCTGAGTGTGTGCTTTGCATGCAGGAGGTCCACTTCAACCCACATGGCCCTGGAGCTTTGCCCAAAGCAGTCCCTGAACATGGAGACCACAGCCCCCAAACACCACTGGGTATGGTCCCCCCAAACAGAGGAAAATGTCAATATCGTTCTTCTCTGATTTCTAGAGAAAAAACATGCTTCCATTTGTCTCTGGGAGCAGAGTGGACAGTGCAGTAACCCACCAGGATCTGCACCTCAAATGAGGGCCAAGTGTGGTGCCCTACATCACACTTGATAATTTTCTTTTTTTTTTTTTTAATACAAAGACAATTCATCATCATTTAAGGATTCATATAATTTTTTATAAGCTTTCTGACAGGGATCAGCTGTGTCGGGACTAATAAATATCCACTGAAAGATAAATAGGGTTTTTTGAGAAAAGATGAACTCTTTCAGACAAGAGAGTATTAAAATACAAATTTGTTCTCTAGAACACCAGAATCATGGTGGGAGGGGAGGGGGGGAGAAGGGAGGGAAGGGGGAGTGTTTGCAGTAGTACAGGTAGCAAATCAAAAGTTATAGGGAAAAGTGTTATCCACCCAAAAGACAGAACACGTAAACCCACTTCTCAAAGAAAATTTAGTAAAGAGTTTTACATAGTCGGGGCTGGAGCAATAGCACAGTGGGTAGGGCGTTTGCCTTTCACACGGCCAACCCGGGTTTGATTCCCAGCATCCCATATGGTCCCCCAAGCACTGCCAGGAGTAATTCCTAAGTGCATGAGCCAGGAGTAACCTCTGTGCATCGCAGGGTGTGACACAAAAAAAAAAAAGGGAAGAAAGAAAGAATTTTACATTAGGAATTAATCTTGCTCAAGTTAACCTCAAGTCATTAAAGAACCCAAAGTCGTTGGTTCATTTAGATAATTTTCTTTTTTCTCTTTTTTTTTGGGGGGGGGGGGGGGCAGGGCATCACACCCTGAGGCCTTTTTCCTTACTCAGGGGCGTGGGGGGTTACACCCTGCAGTGCCTGGGTCCTGGTACTCGGGGTCAGCAGGGCCACACCGGGCCCCCAGATGCCTCGCTCCCTGGCCCTCCTCGCCCACACCGACCTGGAGCTGTACTTCTTGAGGATGGCATCCAGAAGGCCCACGAGCTCTTCGGCGTTGATGAACTTCTGCGCGCTCAGGGTGTACATCTTCTCGTAGAAGTCTGCGATCTCCATGCGGGCCTGGACGAAGAAGCAGAGCTGCTCCGACAGGTGGGACAGGAGTTCCTCCACGTGGGGCGCGGCGCCGCCTGGCACGCCGCGGCCCGCCACCACCTTCTTGAGCTCGTTCTGCAGGGACGTGTAGATGGTGCGGATGGAGTCCTTGCGGCTGAAGAAAGACTGGCCCCCTGCAAGGCAAAGGCACCGCGGGGGGGGGGGGGGGGGGGGGGGGGGGGGGGGAACGTGAGCAGAAGCGCAGGCCGCCACCCCCGCCCACCCACCTTCTCTCCAAGGGACAGAGAGCCTGCGGCCACAGAGTTCCCAGACTCTCCGACGCCTAGGACTGGGAGTTCAGTTCATTTCGTGGCTCGTAATTTCACTGACGGGTGAGGTCGAAGGTGGCCTCGCGCGATGAATGAGTGCAGCCCCGCACCTGTGCACCATTTCCCTGGCCCCGCACTATGCTCTTCCAGCTCTCCTTCAGCGAGCAGGCGGATTTGTTTCAGGGGATCAATAAATTAACCTAGCAAATGACATCAGCCTGGATTTAAAAGTCCTTCCTCCTGAAGACAGAACACCTGCATTAGAAAACGCTACTTTTGTTCCTACTAAATCAGAATTTTTTTTTTCCTGCTCTTGAGTTTAGATTTTTTTCCCCGTTGATTCCTGTCTTTTAAACCATATCAGAAAACAAAAGGCAAATACCTCTTTCATATACAATAACTATGGAACTATGGAAATCCCAGGGGGTGGGGGAAGGAACTACTCACTGCCTTTGACAAGATTGACACTAGAGGTTATAATAAGCACCACACTGTGAATTATTGAGAGCAGGAAGCAATTATAAATAACTGCTGCTGTAACTCAAGGGTTCCAAAGGAAACCAGCAAAAATAAGATCAGATACGTCCTTTTATGTCTAGTCCAAAAGGTCAAATTGGCATATTTCTAAATTAATAGTTGATCAAATATTTCTAATAATTACAAAGCCAGCTTTGTATACGTATTCATTTCTGGTTTGGTTTTTTTTGGGGGTGTCACACATGGTGGTGCTCATAACTTACTCCTGGCTGTGTGCTCAGAGATCATTCCTGGCAGGGCTTGGGGGACTATATAGGGTGCTGGGGATCAAACCCAGGCCAGCACATGCAAATGAAGTTCCTTACCTGCTGTACTATCTCTCCACCCCCTTCTCTTTTTTTCCTGGTTTTGGGGAGTTAAGGGGATACACACGTGGCCACGCTCAGGGCTTACTCCTGGCTCTGAGCTCAGGGATCACTCCTGGTGGAGTTCAGGGGACTCTATAGGCTGCTGGAGCGATAGCACAGCGGTAGGGCGTTTGCCTTGCACGCAGCCAACATGGCCGACCCGAGTTCGATTCCTCAGCCCCTCTCAGAGAGCCCAGCAAGCTACCCAGAGTATCTCGCCCGCATGGCAGAGCCTGGCAAGCTCCCCGTGACGTATTCGATATGTCAAACACAGTAACAACAAAGTCTCCAATGGAGATGTTATTGGGCCTGCTCGAGCAAATCGACGAACAACGGGAGGGCCTTTACTTTACTTTACTTTACTTATAGGCTGCTGAGAGTCAAACCCAGGGCAGGTAGCATGCAAGACAAGTGCCTGCCCCCTGCACTTTCTTCAGTCCCATAAATTATGTATATTTTCTTAAACAATTCTATATCCCAAGAGTCAGAGGTAAGTCAGAGGAAAAGTCACAAGGCAGGTTTGAAACAATAATCCACACAAATATATAAGACTCAGATAAATGACAGTTTAAATTTTCTATTTATACATACATAATGCTTAATTAATTTATTACTCTCCAAAATAGCAGGCAGGGAGGAAGATTAAGCATTTATAAAATACCTTCTTAGTAAATGGGTCATTTCAAAATAGTTTTTGATAATTACCCAGTTTATGTTTCAAAAAATTAATCTTAACACCCCTTACTCTGCGGATGACCAGCTTGTCTCAATGTAACCAGAACTTTACAGATTGTAATGATTAGGGAATGATGAAGTCTGGTTTCTCTGTGTTTGAACAAAGTCCCTCAATTTGGGCTATCCTAGACTAAAAGTTCACAAAGATATTTGGCCTACTATTCCTTTCTACAGTTAAATTTAAAAAAAAAAATCATGTGCCCCTTGGAAATTTACATTCTGTAAGCAAATAGAAAGTGTCCTCCAGAAATTGTCTGCATGGAGGCAGCGGGAGGGTGGGAAAGGGGGTTATGATGGTGGGGAATGTGCACTGGTGGAGGATGGGTGTTTGATCGTTGTGTTCAGTCACTGTGTGTCATTGTGTTCGATCATTGTGTTTGGTCATTGTGTAACTCAAACATGAAAGCTTGTAACTATATCTCATGGTGATTCAATAAAATAAAAATTAAACAAAAAAAAAAAGAAGGAATTTACTACAGCACCACTGGGTCATTCCATTACCTCCCAAGGTTGACATCCCCCACTTTTGAGAAACACTGCCCTAGACGGTTAGTCACTCTGACTAAAGACTTAAAAAGTGTTTTCTGCCCAAAACTGCCCAAACTGATGAACCAGCATCCAATCATTCCTCCTAGTCAGAACAGGAAAAGCCCGACATCAACATTCCTCATTGGAATGGACCCTCGAAGGCAGCCCACTGTCTCAGCCTGCGGATTTTGCAGGCTGACAGTACAGAATAGGCTCATGCCCGCTGAAGAGGAGGTGCAATTAAAAGCATTGGGTAAATGTGGAGGCCTGGGTTCAATCCTGGTACTGCTTCAAATAAGAGATCGAGAACAAGTGAAACTCAAAGGCTTGGAAAAGTCTGACTTGCTTTCAAACTCCAACTCCCAAATTAAGTAATTAAACAACCTAGCCACATTATTTTTATTTATTTATTTATTTTGGCTATTTGGGTCATACCCTACGCTGCACAGGGGTTACTCCTGGCTCTGAACTCAGGAATTATCCCCTGGTGGTGCTCAGGGGACCATATAGGATGCTGGGAATCAAACCCGGGTTGCTTGCAAGGCAAATGCCCTACCCGCTGTGCCATCGCTCCAGTCCAACCAACCTAGCCACTTTAAACTGCTGTTTTTGACATAGGACTAGTAATAGAGTTGCTAAAAAGAAGGGGAAAAAGGTAACATTTAATGTGCAACATCCCTAGAACAAAGCACAGCTTCAATAATGCAATTTTCTTTCCTTTGTATCTGTATCTGGGCTGGAGCGATAGCACAGCGGGTAGGGCATATGCGTGCACACAGCCGACACAGGTTCGATTCCTCTGCCCCTCTCGGAGAGCCTGGCAAGCTACTGAGAGTATCTCACCCTAACAGCAAAGCCTAGCAAGCAGCTGTAGCATATTTGATATGCCAAAAACAATAACAACAAGTCTCTCAATTTGTTGTGAAACGTTACTGGTACCTACTTGAGCAAATCCATGAACATCTGAGGACAGTGCTACAGTGTATCTGTGTCTGAGCAAACTCCCAACAATAACAATTGAGGTTCTGAAATGGGTTGCAACTGTCAAAGAACAGCTTTCAACTTTATGGAAAGCTGGGTGACCTCAGCTGCTACTCCCTCTCCTTTCAGGCAGGATGGTCCAAGGGAAAATGTTCCCTAAGTGTAAAAATGGGATGCCTTCTTTCAAGAGGGGGCCAGTCAAACTGAGGGGGCCAGTCAAACACAGAAACACAAAGAATACCTTTAGAAACTTATCAATAAACATCAAACCCTAGTATGTGAAACCAAGTAAAATGATACTAAGAGACCACCAACTCACTTCTTTAAATAGGTCTCTACTCAAACCTCTCAGGAACACAACTTACCATCCAGTGGGCCTGGCCTGCCTTCCTGCTGGGAAACAAGGAATCAGACACTTGCCTTCTGTAACTTTTCATTATTTTTAAATTTACAAAACATGATTATTTTTCATTGTTTCCAGAAGGTTCTATTTATGCACGCTCGTTATTTCTCAAGATTTCAACAACCACACATTATCAAAGGAAAACATCTAATTGAGTGTTTTATTCTACAATTTCTTGCTAAGGTTACGTTTAAAACATCAGTTCTCACATTATTTTCTACTCCCAGGAACTGGAGGTTGAGGAAGTTCTCCAGGAATAAAACAAAGGGACAATGAGTGTGACCTCAAGTCCTCCAGAGGCCAGAGCTAGCATGCTCTACATACTCTTAATCACTGATCCTTCCCCAAACAGCTATCTTTTCCTCTCTGAAAAACTGCCCAGGACAGAACAAAAGACTCTCTGCAGGCTTATCCTTTGACTAAAGGCTCATCCATACTTGGAATCACCAGGATACTCTGCTGAGCGGTCCAATAAACACCACTCTCGAGAGTGAGGTCAAAAAGACTCACTCTTGGTTTGGAGAGACGGCTCAAAGGCTGCAAAGCACACTTTGCAAGCAGGAAAGCAGGCACCATAGGGTCCCCCAAACACCACCATAGCAACTCCCAAGTACATCCAGGGAAGACCCAAAAATCAAAAAGGGGCAAAAAACCAGACTGGCATTATAAGCACTTTCTAAGTGTTAAAAAAAAAATGCACAGAAATGTTTACTTTTATACTAGCAAGGTGAACACAGAAATATTACTTTAGAAGTAAATATGATTTTTTCTCTGAACTTTTTAAAAAAAATGGTGAAGTGGAGGCCGGAGAGATAGTATCACAGGTAAGGTGCTTGCCTTGTACAATGCTGACCCATGTACATTACCCGGCACTTCTCGTATATGGTGCTCCAAGCAGATTCCTGAGCAAAGCCACAGGTAAGCCTGGAGCACCACCAGGTGTGGCTCAACCTGCCCACTTTCCCCTTCCCCCCACCAATTAAAAGAAGCAGAAGGGTCAGAGAGACAGTACGAGGGGTAAGGCCTTATAGGCAAGGCCACTTGTGTTCAAACGCTGGCACTCTGTATGATCACCCCTGAGCACTGCACCACAGTCAGGAGTAATCCCTGAGCACTTCCGTGTGTGGCCCCAAAACCAATAAATAAATAAATATAAATGGTGAAGTTATACTGCAAGCAGGGATAGCACATATATACCAAAAAGATGTTTGCAGATATTTTAATTACAGGATTTGTTTCCTGTACACATGAACAAGTTAAAAGGTAGTGACATTAAACATGCCACTTTCAGAAAACTGACTCAGAAGGGACCACCTGACCACTTCTGAGTGATCACCAGATCCAGTAAACTGCTCCCTAGGTCAGTTTCAAGGTGCAGGCCTGAACTCTGCAGGCCCTGAGTTCCCAGTGCAGATACAAGTTAGGATTTAGGCGAAATGAATTTTACCCAAGGGTCACTTTGCAGAACCCAAGTCAAAGACAAAGGCCATCTTACATGTGTTCTTATACACTCAGCAGCTGGTAATGTTCCCTGAAAAACCCAGCACATACAACTTCAAATGGAGGAACAGATTTTCTAACTGGGTTCTACAAATGGACTGTGGAAAATGTAACAGAATCACCTCAGATTATATGAAAAATTGTACAGATACATATTTTTTCTCGCAAGTAAATCCACAGCTTTCATCAAACCTTCACAAGTGCACTAAAAATACTAAAAATCATGACATTGGTAAATCACCAATCACCCTGATGGAGGAGAACCTAGAAAGAACAAAAACCCTGTTCAACAATTATTCATCTTCAATCTTACAGCCAGCATCCCCCATCTTCATATACACACATACCATACAGTACCTGGCATACATAAATTTCAATACTTGCACAGTTATATAAGTCATATGGATGCAAACAAAATCTGACAGTTCACAAAGCAAGTTTTCTGGTTTGGTTTGTCATTTATCCACACAACAGCATGTACATAACTTGCCCACCTGCTTTAGAGAAAAAATAATGCTGCAACTACAATCACAAAGTCATGAGAAGTACCACTGAAAAAGGGGCAGGAAAAAAATGCAGGCTAAACTGTTTGCCCAGTTTTTGTCACTCAGCTAACACACTAACAAGTGCTACTTACAACACACTAACAATTCCAATAGCTAATGCAGACCTGAACTCAGAAAGCCCTGCCCCTGCTTTCCTGAATATATAGCAAGCTGAATATAGTCACCTTCAGGCAATAATAGGACACTGGGGATAGAAATGTAATCTACGCTCCAATCTACTCTATTCTGTTCATTTGAACATCATGGGTGCTTCATTCATACCAAACTCTGCCCCTCTTGTAAGTAATGGGCCTAAGCATTAAAACAATTTTAAAAGCCCTGTTATTGATAACATTTATTATTGGTAGCTATTAGTAATACTTTGTATACATAGTCCTTGGCATTCACATATACTATTTTCTCCTAATCGATTCATAATTGCTTCTACTACTGAAAATCAAGTGAATCCGCTTTGCATCTTATTTTAGGGGCAAGATTTATCATAAGGTGGTAAGATATTTATCATAAGGTGCTTGATATTTCCCCCCTTAAGCTATTTGGCTAGTGCCAGGTAATTTCTTGCCTTCGCTGCCCAGTATTCATTCATTTCTTCATTAAATATTTATTGAGGGCGGGCAGGATTCCACCAGTCTCTGGGGCCTTGACCTGAAGGTATCAGAGGACAGTGTTCATGAATTTTAATTAGGTTAAATCCCCTCTGGCCGCAGAGTCACTGGTTAAAAAAAAAAAAAAAAGGCGAGAACACAGTAGTTTTTTCACTTCTCATCTAGGGCAGTAATCCATGCACTGGACAAAATGGATAAATGGATACACCCATTGATCTGGGGCACAGCCGGGCAAAGAGCATCCACCCGCGCCGGCCAATCTAGCAGCAGCTGAGGCAGGTGGGCGGAGTTTTGGGGGGGGTGGGGAAAAAAAAAAAACGAGGCTAGGAAAGGACCGTGGGAGGCGAGTTTGGAGCCTGGGGCTAGGAGTGGCACAGCGATAAGGAACCTAAGCCCCCGGCCACCGGAGCTGAGACCCCACTTCCTTCCTCCTCCGGGGGCGCGGGGGGGCGGGGCGAAGGTACCTAGTTTCTGCCCCAGGTAGGTGAGGCTGTGATAGACCTTCTCGGCCGCGGCCAGGTGGGCCAAGGCCGCCAGCAGCGACAGCCAGCTGCCCCCCGCGCTCTTGTTGGCCTCTCGCTCCTTCTCCACATTGTCCTTGGCCTTGTCGTAAGAGAAGATGCCCAGGTGAGAGAAGAACGTCTCCAGCACCGCCTGTTCCACCGGGACCGGGGCGGCCAGCGGGATAGACTCCCCCATGCGAGCCGCGCTCCAGCTCCACCCACGTGGCTCTCCGCGCCCGCACTTCCGGGTTCTCGGGTTTCCCCCCGCCGCGGCCCGGCGTGCGTGCGCGCGCCCGCGGCGGGTGGCGGGCTCGGGGGCGCGCCTGCGCCCGCCCGCGCGCGGACTAGCCCGCGCTAGAGGCTCCCGGCGGCTCCCGCAGCGCTGGCCCCGCGGGTCCCGGGCCCCCGACCCCAGCTCCGGCCGGGAGGCGGCCGAGAAGTCGCGGCGAGGCGCTGGATGCCAGCGGGGGGCGCGCCTGGAGGCCCCACCTCGGACTGCGTCGGCCTGTGACGTCACGCTCGCATGACGTCGGTCGCTGGGGCCCGAGCCTGCCTCCCGGTCTCGGCGCTGGGCTGAGCGGGGCTCGGGCTGGGATGCGCTCGTCCGGGGGGGTCGTTGCGGGGTGCGCGGGTGCGTCCCTTCTCGGTGCCCCCGCGGGAGTCCCTTCCCCTCTGCTGCCCCACTGGTCATCTCGGGCCCCGTGAGTGGCGCGGTTTCCAACTAGAGCGGCTCTGGATGAACCCTGTCCAGGCTTGTCCAGACTTCTTGATTTCGCGTGTTTCCTTTCCTGAAAAATCTTCCACTGTTAACATGCGTCATGGACAACTTTGTAAACCACGGTGTTTAAGTAAAGGGACGGGGGAGAGAAACTTCATATGAACAAGAAACATGGTTCTACTCACAGTTCTAATATTCCCAATTATTTATTAGGCTGTTTGACTTATTAAAATAAGAAGTGGCTTTCCAAGGCTTGAACTGCGTCTCACAGAGATGTAGCCATAACTCCCAATGGTTCCTGCTTTGGGGAGAGGTGAGGGCTTTTTCCCCCCTGAATTTTTATTTTATTGGTAAGTGAGAATAATTAAAACCCATTTTGAAGAGTTTTTGCTAGGACTGTCACTGTCACTGTCCTCCTGTTGTTCATCGATTTGCTTAAGCGGGCACCAGTAACAGTCTCCATTGTGAGACTTGTTATTGTGTTTGGCATATCGAATATGTCACAGGTAGCTTGCCAGGCTTTGCCATGCGGGCGGGATACTCTCAGTAGCTTGCCGGGCTCTCTGAGAAGGGCAGAAAAATTGTATCCGGGTCAGCCTCATGCAAGGCAAATGCCTAATGACTGAATAAACTCCTTTTTTAATTTTATGTTTTGGTTGGGGAGGCGCTAGGTGGTGCTGGGCATGGGGGACCATATGTGATGCCAAGAATAGAACCGTCAGTACTGCAAAAGCTGGGACCTTATCTGCAGCCCTGTCAGGCTTCCTATAAGTGGTCTCAGAATGAAGGCCAAAGTGATGAATCTTCTGTTAAATCAGCTGAGTTCATGCCCTTCTGCCATTCTGTAAGTACATTTAATGTTGAACAGAATTTCTAAATCCAGCTCATAGATTGTCCACTAGTAAGTTTTTTTTCCTTTCTTCCTTGTACAGAGCGTCCTCAACTTTCTTGTGATTGCAGACTGTCATACCCATTATAAGTAGAAAATTTTATTGGCTATAAATAACCAGCAAACTCAGTTCAGCCTCCCCTACCTTCACTCTGCTCAGAACACCTCCTTTATCCTGCTATTGGGAAAAAGCATCTCATACAAAGCACATCTTATAGTAAGTGCTGACTGATGCACGTAATGTATTGACTGTCATACTGAAAATGCTAACAGAATTCCCAAGAGCCTGGAAAGATAGTACAGCTGGTAAGGTTCCTTGCACACTATGAACCCTGGTTTGTTCCCTGGCACCCCATATGGTCCCCTGAGCAATGCCAGGAGTGATCCCTGAGCACAGGACCAGGAGTACCGAGTTACCAGTATTAATAAGAAAGAAACGTAAGTACTTAAGTCACTGTCACTGTCCTCCCGTTGTTCATCGATTTGCTCGAGCGGGCCCAGTAACATCTCCATTTTTTGGAGACTTGTTGTTACTGTGTTTGGCATATTGAGTACGTCATGGGTAGCTTGCCAGGCTTTGCCACGCAGGCGAGATACTCTCGGTAGCTTGCCAGGCTCTCTGAGAGGGGCGGAGGAATCGAACCCGGCTTGGCCAGGCTGACTGCACACAGGGCAAACGCCCTACCACTGTGCTATTGCTCCAGCTCCACTTATTAAGTAAGTACTTATAAAAGTTATTAAGTACTATCATCTCTGTGAGGTCTTTTTTAGACCTTGAAAAGTCACTTCTTGTTTTTGTAAGATGTCAGACAAATTGTACAGAGCCCAGCTGGATGTGGTCTAAACCCCCCTCACCTCCAAAAATAGAGAAAAAGGAATTTCCAAAGTAAAAAGGTCAAAGATCAGGGAAGGCAACAGCTCAGTGGTAGATTATTTGTTTCTATTGATGGGTCTCTGTTCGACCGCTCTTCATGCTCCCCCAAAAAATATGAGCTTCCAGTGTGGTGCTTTCCCGTTGGTCCCATCAGCATAATCCTGTACAATCTCATCATCTGTTTTTATGTTTTTATGCCTCTTCCTACTGAGTAGTGAACGCTCCTCAATTATGAAAACTAATACGGGACAGAATTTTCTGTGTGATAAAGGTAGAAAAGGCAGCAGTCATATTATTTCAGGAGCCAGTAATCAAAATATTGTATTGCCCCCCCCCAGCCAATAGACAATGAGAGTTATTAGAACTTATAAATATACCCAAGTAATATAAGTATCCCTTAGATAATAAATGGTGGCGTCATAAATCATTGGGGAAAGGTAAATTTATTTTATGGGCCAGGAAACATGATTATGGTGGGGGAGACCTTTGTCCTGTTTTCTACAAAGCAGAGCACTGTACCACTGTCCTCCCATTGTTCATTGATTTGCTCAAGCAGGCCCAGTAATGTCTCCATTTTGAGACCTATTGTTACTGGGTTTCGCATATTGAATATGCCATGGGTAGCTTGCCAGGCTTTGTTGTGCAGGGGAGATACTCTCGGTAGCTTGCTGGGCTCTCCAAGAGGGGCAGAAGAATTGAACCCAGGTTAGCTGCGCTACAAAGCAAAAAAATATATATTTACAAATGTAAAAACAAAACCTTAAACAGGCTTTTAGAAAAATACCAATGGGATGCTGGAGCAATAGTACAGTGGGCTAGTTGCTTGCCTTGCACACAACCAGCCTGGGTTCCATCTCCAGAACCCCATATGGTTCCTCCAAGCCCACCAGGAATGATTCCAAAGTGCAAAGCCAGGCATAAGCCCCAAGCACTGCTGGTGTGGCCCCCAAACCAGAAATAAATGAAAATAAATACTAAATATCACTGGAAATGAGTGGATCTATGCATAGAGAAAAGAAAAACACTATAATTATAAAAGATTTGGAGGGACACAGGCTCAATGGCCTGAAGCTTTTGTCTAGCAAGTGCAAAGTCGTTAGTTCAAACCCCAGTGCCACCTGTAAGCACCAATATGATCCTGAAAACTGCCTTTTGGGATCTCTAGGAAGAAAGGGCCCAGCCAGGGGCACATATGCTGCCCGAGTCCATGTGCTGCTTGCACCCACATGGCTGAGCACATGTGGTGCCTGAGCACATACGTTGCCCGCATCTCCCCTCTTGAGATGTGTACTTTCATGTCAATGCTGGGATGTGTGTAGGGGCTCTTCCTGCCCTTGGAGAAGCCTGGGTTCTCTCTTGAGCACATTACTCTCCCCTCTGTCCCACTTTCTCTTCCTCCTTCCCTTCAAAACCTCCAAATAAAATCTGTTTTACTTCAAAAAATAAAAAGAAATAAAAGAAAAAAAGGGCCCGGCCAATGGCTTTGTAACTTAGGAAGTATCAGGGGGCAATAAATGATGTCCTAGAACTGGGAAGTTGACTTGAAAGTTGGGGTGCTTGCATTGCATTCTGGAGCCCCAGGTTCCATCCCCAACAGGAGGATTGGGGAAGAAGCTTGAGGTGAATTCCCCGTGCTTAGGTAATCCTGAACACTCCATGGTCTGGGGTCCCAAGTAAGGGAAAATAAAGACTGTAAAAGAGTTGGAAGCATTATAAACAAAGAGATTGACTTGTCTATATGAAATGCTTTTAAATTTTACATGTCAACAAAATGTGATGCCAACCTGTAAAAAAACATTTGTAGCATGTCACACAGAAGTTGAATGTGCTTCAGATGTCATGATCTATTAAGTATAGAAATGCAGGTTAAACTATCCAACCTTTACCAGATTAGGAAAAGAACCACACTTAATATTAAGTGCTGTAAACATGTAGAGAAACATGTCGGTTCTCACATATTGCAGATGGGCATGTTATTTGCTATGAGAATCCTGAAAGAAAAATTGACTGTATATATTGAGATAAATGAGTGTACAATATCTACAACAGATATGCTTAGTAATAACTCACTATTGTACTGTTATCATTAGCCTCATCAGACTTTTTAATCAGGAAAGCACCTAAAAAATACTTTGGATAGGGTTTGTAAAAACTAGTTCTCCTTATAAGAATTTTATAGGAGGCTGGAGAGATAGTACAGGGGTGAAGGTGTTTGCCTTGCATGTACATGTGTGTCCCCTGAGCTGTACTTGAAGTCACTCTTGAGTCAGTTAGGAATAGTTCCTGAACACAGCTGGGTATCATCCCAAAACAAAAATGATGGTGATAATAATAATAAAGAATTTTATAGGAAGATAATAGTGCCAATGACATGTCAGGCTGTTTAAATCTTTAAAATTATAAAGCAAAAAGTTATCTTGAGTAACTATGAAGTTGAACATAAGCAGGATACTTCTTACAGTTTGTTGTTGATGGTATGACAGCTCTCTAAGGTTTCGCCATTAAAAATTAATGACTTAAAAAAAGGAAATAAGTTGCTGTTTCCTTTCTATTTCTGTGAGTCGGCAATTCAAGAGCGGTGCAGTTGGGACAGATCTGTCTCGGTCTTCCATAAGGCTGTAGTCAGGTGTTGGTTTGTGGTCATCCCAGGACTTATTTTGGAGCAAGAGAATCCACTTCCAAGGCACCCTGCCCACATGTCTCAGGAGTTGGCACAGGTTAGCACACACGGATCTCTCGATAAGGATGACTTGTACCATA